CCTCCCAAGAAAGCCGAGAAATACAGGGTTACACAGAAACAAGCCTTTCTCAAAACAAAATAAAAACAACACAAACAAACAAATAAAAAAACAACAACAAAAACAAAACTAGAAGTGACCTTTGGCTGGGAACTTCCTTGGACATTTTAATTTCCCCCTTCTGTCTATATATATATATAGACCAGTGCCTTATGAAGTGTGGCGGAAGTAGTACTGTGCATGACATTCAATATTCATCTACAAAATTTAGAGATTCTCGATCATATTCATTGGAAAGAAAGCTGTTTAATGCCCATGTTGAATCATACGGTTTTTAAAGGTTCACTGGTATAAGAGCACCAAGACAGAGCTCCTGCCCTGGGGTGTGAACACATACAAGTACATGTGATTGTTGATACCCAGGGGCAATGCTACGGGTTAATGACTGAAGCTGTGTATGAACATAAAAGAGGTTTAAGCCTTGTGAGACAAACGAATGTGTCTTAGTTGCTATTTGAATAGAACACCTAGATAAAAGCCTTTGCTTTTTTGGTAGTGTGGTCTATAATAAATTCACTTTTGGTTTATTGGTAAAACTGGAATTTTATGAATACAATTAATTTTAAAAGAAAGGGCATATTCAAGACTTTCACAGAATATATTGTTTTGTTCTTTGAATATGTGCTTCTTGTTCTTGGAATATCTCTTTCTTGCTTGTGAAATATGTACAATTTGAGAACATCTTCTTGACGTAATGTACAAATTCTCCTGTATGAAGAAATATACAGAATATTTCTACATAGAAAAAAATGTATGCATGTACAATATACTATCAGCAGAGGATAACCAAAAAATATATAGATAGGTATCTTGTCTTAAATAAGCTTTTTTTTTTAACCCATGCATCTGTAAACTTCTTTGTATGTAACCTCTCAGTGGGATAATTTAATGTCACATCCTGACTTTACTTCGTCAGCAAGAACAAGTCTCACTAAGAACCCTAACTCACATGTCCTTTTGATATTATTGAGCATCTTCTGGGTTAATCTCAAAAGTGGTATTGCTGGGTCTTGAGGTAGATTGTATCCTTATTTTCTCAGAAATTGCCATACTGATTTAGCCAGCTGTACAAGTTTGCACTCACACCAGGAAAGGAGTAGCATTCTCCTTATCCCATCCTCTTTAGCATAATCTGTCATCAGTGCTTTTGATCTTGGACATTCTGAAAATTGTAAGATGCAATATCAGAGCTGTTTGATTTGCATTTCTCTGATGGCTAAGAATGTTGAGCATTTCCTGCAGTGACTTTCAGTCATTTGACATTCATCTGTTGAGAGTTCTCTGTTTCGGTCTGTACACCATTTTTTATTGGATTATTTGTCCTTTCGATCTCAAGTTTCTTGAGTTCTTTGTATATTTTTAACATCAGTCCTCTGTTCTATGTGGGGTTGGTGAAGAACTTTTTCTATCCTATAGGCTGCTGTTTTGTTTTGTTTACCATGTCCTTTGCTTTACAGAAGCTGTTCAGTTTTAGGAGGTATTATTTATTAATTATTGCCCTCAGTTTCTATGCTACTGGAGTTATATTTAAGAAGTGCCCATGCATTCAAGTGTACTTTTCACTTTCTCTTCTATGAGGTTCAGTGGTTGGTTTTATGTTGAGGTCTTTGATTCATTTGTACTTGATAACTATGGATCTATTTGTATGTGCTCAACTATGCTCATAGCAGCATTATTTGTAATCGCCTGAACCTGGAAACAACCTAGATGCCCCTCAGCTGTAGAAGGGATAAGGAAAATTTATTACATTTGCACAATGGAGTACTACACAATGGTAAAAAAATATTGCAATCTTGAACTTTGCAGGAAAATGGACATACCTATAAAAAATATTGAGTGAGGTTACTCAGATCCAGAAAAACAAATATAATATGCACTCACTCATAAGTGACTTTCAGACATAAAGCAAAGAACACCCAACCTACAGCCCACAACCTCAGAGAACCTAAATAACAAAGAGGACCCAAAGATAGACATACATGAATCTACATAGGAAAGGGAAAAAGCCAAGATCTCCTGAGTAAATTGGGAATGTGGGAGTCATGAGAGAGTGTACAAGGGGAGAAGGGAGGAAGGGAAGGTAGTAGAGAAAAATAAATAGCTCAATAAAAACAATAAAAAAATCCCTAACTTTTCGTGCTAAGTGTAGCTGCTTGTTTTATTTTTTAACAAGAACATTGTGCTTCAACACTTCTCTGTGTGGGCTTTTACATCGTGTCCCATTCCATTTTTTTTAAACAAACATATATTTGAATAATTTGAAATCACAACTATTTATTTGTTCAATTTAATTTTAAGTAGCCTTTTCAAATCTTTATATTTAAGGTTAACATTTACAAGAATAATTTTCTGGCTATAAGATATTTAAATTGCCCTCAAACTTAAAAGAACTTGAACTTCATTAATCTATATTACTCTCATCAAAATATTCTCAATAATTTTGTTAAAATTTTTATATTTTTAGTGAAATCTATTGGAATCATATGCTATGTTCTGAGCCTATAGAGCAGCGGCAGTACACACACACACACACACAGAGCAGGTATGGGGTGCTTACAGATGACTGTCAATTGGTGGGGTAGGAAGATGCATATAGACACATGAATCAGCAATGTGGCATCTTAGGTGTTTCCAACATGGCTGAGCCACAAATAGGTCTACGTTATTAGTAGAAACAAAAACAGCACAAACGGAGGCAACAATAGCAACCCCAAGAAAAGCTGCAGGTGCCTATTGCATAGTCCTCATGGTGAAAAGCCTACTTACCCAAAATTCCCAGGATCCCATCTCTACAGAGTCTTCACAAATATTAGATCTCTTATCTATCTTCGATGACAGTGCTGACAGGACTCAGGTAACCATTATAAAAGTAATTGTTTTTTAACCATCACATCTAGAAGTTTTCATGTCTAGTTTTGATTTTGTTTATTTTTGTTTTTTGAGACAGGGTTTCTCTTTTGAAATTTGCTGTAACAGCACCAAACAAATATTTACAAACTTAGAAAAACAAGTTAATTTTAAAAATACCACACTTGATAGAAAATAGCGCTCAATTTTCATATAAAGCTTTAGATGAACAAATTACTGACAAGAAGTGCAATTTTGGTTATACTTTTCCTAAGACTAAATAGAAAATAATAGGATTCATAAACAGACATTTGGAACTGCACAAAATTTCCTGCAACTACCTCTGACTTCTTTCATAACCTTGATAAGTTACAGGAAATGCCAGAGGAAGCATTGAAATGCCATTGCATAGATTAGCATTAAATTCAATGTAAAGCAATAGAATTGATCCCTGTGGTCAACTTGTTCCATGTCTTGAGGGCGCTGATAAATTCATGAGCATACATATGTAATAAAATTTTATGGAAATAAATGAGCAAGTACAAAAATGAGGTCAGTATCCTGTATTTATGTCCATTTCTGGTAATATATTTATGTTTGTTACACTTGGTTTGAAGACAGCCTTACTGAGGAAGCTGAAGGAAGAACACTTGGGCTCCCTGCTTCTTGGCACCTCCGTGAAACTATAACCATTTCAAAATTCAAAAGTCCAATTAAAAATTCCATCTCAGACAAGCTTGGGACTGATTTCTGTGGTTTAAATATTAATAAAAAATATCATTTCGTGTGAATCATCAGCAACAGATGTACCAAAATTTACATTGTAAAGTGATGGATTAAAAATCCATCTTAATGTTCTCACAGCCTAGGAAACATTTTTAATAGCTTCAAGAACAGTTGTATCAACCAAAAACATCTTCTTTTCAAAATTAAAACAAATATCAAGATGTATTTGTGATCTCACATTAGCCAAGAGCAACTGACGTTGCTATAAATGTTATCCTTAATAGTAGAGCTAAAAATTGCATAAATTGTGCTATCCTAAGAAATAATTTTCAGAAGAGCACTGATATAAGTCAATAAAGATTAACATTTTTATGAATAACAATTTTATTGAATAACAATAATTATTCATTGTATTTTATATTACTGTAACACCAATATTATTTTTATAGTTTACACATTTCTGTGTTATTCATATGTTACTATTATCTCATTTTACTAGTAATAAATTTGTGTAAAGGAAAAGTCTTCATATTTTATTACATTTTGTGTTTTTCTTTTGTGTTTGAGTTAATGCCCCACCATTTTTATTTTACAGTTGTCCTCATAAAGAATGTAAGTCCTGACTAGGGGCAGGCAAACTTTGAAAGGCATTTGAATTTGAGATGGTCATGGTGGCACACACTTGTACGCCTAAGAGTATGTCATATAACAATACCCCACTGTCAGAACAACAAAACATACAAACAAGTTGCTTAAAATTTTTGCAAAAGAAAGCATAATTAACAAGCTCTTTTCTTTCAAATTGAGATTGAAATAAAATTTTGACATGATTTCAGATATTTACAAGTCATAATTAAGACCAGCCAGCTTTGGAATATTTTAGAATGCCAACCAAGTTATGTTTGTAATTCCAAAACATTTTTGATTTTTCATTTGTAAATCACAGAAATATTAAAAAGCATTTATATACCAAGTTGCATTCATGAAACTTGAGCTGTATAGTATTGATAAAATTTTTTTAATTGAGATTTACATGCTTAGACCCACCTGCTACTTTTCTCAGCTTGCATATACAATTATGATTCCCTTGTAACATTAACTGATATTCAACATTTATTCTTAAGAGTTATTATGACATATGAACAATTTTCCCAAATGGAATATTACTTAAAAACAATTTAAAGCTGAGAGTTTATGAACTAAAATATTGTTATTTCTGTTTTATCTTGATAGACCAGATTTGAATATCATTGAGTCATTTGCTTTACCATCCAGTAAGAAGTTATGTATACTTGTTTATTTTCTAATGCTTCTGTGGCTACGTTGCACTTATTTTTCCTTTTATTTTCCTGTTGGTTCAGTCCATTTTCTTTTCTTTCATGTTTCAGAATGATTCTTGGGGAAAGCAATATTCCTACGCGCTCTTCAAAGCCATGAGCCACATGCTATGTATCGGCTATGGCGCACAAGCGCCCGTCAGCATGTCCGACCTCTGGATTACCATGCTAAGCATGATCGTTGGGGCCACCTGCTATGCCATGTTTGTTGGCCATGCCACAGCTTTGATTCAGTCTTTGGATTCTTCAAGGAGGCAGTATCAAGAAAAGGTATGTAGCTTTCTTTCTCAAATATTCAAGCAGCTTTTTCATAACAAAATTTAATTGTGTTCAAGCTAACATACCAATATCCCTCTATTGAAACTGTGAGGAGCTTAAATATTTAAGTGCAAGAGAGTCTGTTTTGATATTTTCAGATTCCCACTGAGATAATTTTCCAAGACATTATTTTATTTGTTTTGAATTATATTGATACGTGTGTATGTATATATGTATGTGTGTTTACCTGGTGATGTAACTGAGGTGGTAAAGTAGCCCCAGCGTTAATCCCCAGCATGACAAATGACAGGCATGGAGCAACTGACTTGTCATTTCAACATTTGAGAGTTGGAGTCAGGAAAGTCAGGAAAATCAAGGTGTCATGCTCGGCTATAGAGTAGGGTTGAGGCTAGCCAAGTCTGAACATTTTATATACATACATTCTCATTCCTTAAAATATAATTATATCTCTAAAATGTGTAAAGAAGATATACACAATGTCCCCATGGTTAAGGTTGAGATTCTATATTCTAAGAGTCAAATTTCAATTACTGGACTAATATATTATTAATCCCTCACTAATTCACACTACAAGAAACAGAAGTCTACAGAAAGAGCCAGTGAGCTTTGCCCTTTTTTCTGGCTGCCTTTTTCTCTGTGTTATAATAGCAATTTACATTATAATCCACAGACTTAGCCTACTAAGCACTGACTGCCCTTATTGCTACAAAACTCATCACACTCCCCAGGGCTGTTTGAGTCAGGGTTTCTCAACCCTGTCTGTCCAGGATGTGTAAACCAGACTGGGTTGGAATTCAAAGATCTGCCTACCTCTGCCTCAGCCTCACTGCCTCCTGAGTTCTGGGATTAAAGCCTTGCACCATCCATGCCGGGCAACACTGTCTAGTATTAAAAGTCATGTTTACAGTTGCTAGCTTGTCTTCCTGTGCTCAGTGTGTTCATGGAAGTAGCTGCCATGTTAAACTTCTCCTAAATGAGTAGAAGAAGACAAAACCAAGTTGAGCTATGATTTCCTTACATTTTATTGTATTTTATTGTTTAAAACAATTTCTAAATTTAAATATCTTTTGATCATATTCTTCCCCTCCCTCAAGTCCTTCCAGATCTGCTCCCTTTCCCCTACTTGCCTACCCAACTTTAAATTCTTCCTCTAAAATCAAACAAAAGGTCAATATCATAACAAAACCAAGGAGGAGGGGGACTGTGGAGTCCATAATATGTTGGTCAGCAACTCCTGAACCTGAGACCTGCTCTTGAGTGGTTGAATCCCAAATGTCACTCCATTGAAAAGAACTAATTTTCCCTCTCCCAACAGATACAACTGACAGTTTTTCTGTTTTTTAACTTTTACTCTAGTGGCTAAGTTTTCATTCATTCATTCGTGCATTCATTCATTTGTGTTTTTAAAATAACAAAATAAAGTATAATAAGTTGAAGCAGGACCATCATGCTGAATTTGGACAAGACAAGACAAAAGAAAGAAAAGTGCCCAAGAAATGGCACAAGAAACAGACATTCACTCATTCACAGAATCCCACAAAACCACTCACCTGGAAGCCACCATATAAGCACAGAGGGCTTTGTGTAGACCTGTGTAGACCCTGGGCATGATGGTTCTTTTGCTAGACCAGGAGTATCTGATTTTACCCTAGGTCCTTGTGCTATCTACTCTCAGGTTCTTGGTCACCCAGGCAATACCAGTTTTCCTTTTGCGGGATGTGCCTTAAGTAAAATCAAATAATGGTTGGTTCTCACACAAGCTCTGTGCCATCATCAGCCTAACATATCTTTCAGGTAGTGCACCATTATAGAAGAAGAGTTCCTGGCAGGCTTGGTGTTTGCATTCCCCTTTTGATAGTGTGTAGAGAATCTACCTGTAACCAGGTGTTCACACCTTGACACAGAACATTTCTGGAAGTAATGATATAAAGTAATGATATAAAGTAAGTGTGACCTGTACCAGGTTAGATTCAATTATTCCAAAGAGATGAATGTCACACTAATTGTTGCGATATATACAAAGCCATTGCCATTATAACCCTGTAATGGCAGTAAAAGAACAAAGATGTTTGATTTTGCTCAGATAGAACTACAGTGGCACCAACCAGCATAATCAGCAAGTTGATACTTTGATGATTAAATCATGAGAGGTAAACTGTCAAATTTGCCTTGAGGCTTACTTTTAAGAAAAAAATAAATTGTATAGAACAGTAATCAAAAGACTATATAAAGCCGTTTAGCTGAAAATCCTATTTTAATTGAAATTCAGGCTTATTTTATGGTGATATAAGGCTAGAACATCATATTGTGAAATTTGTTCTTACACCAGTTTTTTCCCTGTTGTTTTCAATGAAAATGTTGACATTTTTATCATTTTCTATGAATATTGCTACATATTTTCTTTTTGTTTTTTTATGTCAATATATTATTTACACATTGTGAAAAATTTTAATTTGTTTCCATATTTGCATGTTTTATTTATATATTTATTAAATATTGTAAATAATATACAATGTGTAAATATATATTTTCTTAAAACAAACCAATATTCATGATTACATTTTCAGAAAGATGAAATTATATGTGTATGTATCTGTGTGTGCATGTATGAGTGTGTATTTGCGTGTGTGTGTGTTTGTGTGCATCCTGAGACAGAGCCTCACTCTGTACAACAGGCTGATCTTAAGTTCACAGCAAACATACTGCCTCAACCTTCTGAGTGCTGTGCAACAATTTTGTTGTACAAAATTAGAATTTGTGGAGTACCACTTTTTCAAGAACAGGGAAGTAAAATATTAAACTTATACCAAGAGACAAAATGTTCAAATTCTTTTTGTGTAATTAATGTAAAGAAGTGTAATTAGTGTAAAAATATCTCAATTTGTAAGTAGACATAAAACCATGTATCAATTATTGAATTGGACAATTTTCTGTAAGCTAATTTTTAACTAGCCAAATTGTATTAATTTATCTGAGTTAACAATAGCCCTGAGTTAGAAAGCTGGGAATCCAAAGCTGCTGTCCTTTGCAACCTATTCAAATCTCACTCTAAAACAACTAACTTACGAAAAAGTAACTAGAGAACTGTTGGTTTATCCAGGGAAGGAAACACTAATTGTGTATCCAGTACCAAATGGTCAGTCCTGAAAACATTATACAGACAGAGCAGGTTTCATTTAGGAATTTATATGTAAATATGTATATAAGATAATATACATATAACAACTATTAATTTAAAAAGTGGCCATGAATTTGAAATAAAGCAAGGAAAGGTATATGAGAGAGTATGGAGAGAGGAAAGGTAAAGTAGAAATGATGTAATTATCTTATAGTCTCAGAATATAAGAAAAAATAAAAGGATATATAATTAAATATATATATAATTATAAGGTGATTATGACTGTGCATATGCTTTTGACAATACGCCCATCGAGGGTGACTTGGGTGAAACATTAGTGCAGGATCAGCTTTTAAAATCTTAAGTCTCCTTTAACCAAATCTCTTTTCCAAATAGCAAACCATTTCTTTCTCTTGAAAATAATCCTAGATTCTCCTCTTCCACAACTTTCACTCTGCCTACTCCCTTTCCTTAGACACCCCTGAGGTCTTCCTAGGTTTTTCTTGTATTTGAGCTCTAGGGCTCCTTCCAGATCATGCCAACCTTTACTCACCTGAATGTTATATACATCCTCTGTATCCAATTCAGTCCAAATGCTGTGATAGGAAGACCCTTCACCCTTAATCCTGATGTGTGTGCTTAAGACCCAAACACGGAAACATAAGCATTGTGGACGCGAGGCTGCCAAAATTCTGCTGTGAGGCAATGAGAGAGGCTGATGTTTAGAGCTGCCCCCCCTTACCCTAATCTATAAATAGCTATAAAGTCGTGAGTGAACTTTGCCAAATGTCATCACATGAATATATGTAAAACACCTTCCAAAAAATGAATTTTGTTATTTGCATGTATGCAAATGTATTGTTTCATCAAGGTTTTAATTATTGATACTTAGTTGTATATTTATTTTATGTATTTTGAAATCTCACGCTGCTGCTCAGACTGCCATGGAATACTGAGATTAATGTTCTCCTAGTATCAACCCCCCTGGTACCTGGAAGTACTTATTTATGTACCTCCCCTTTGCCTGAAGATAGATAACTTTTTAGAAAATATGTTTTTGAATCCATTTTTGTTTTTTTTTTGTTTTTTTTTTTTTTTGAAATTCTGAGGTCAGTCACTTACTCGTGGAATTAAAGGATCTATTACCAATTTGACTGCCACCAGGGCTGAAGAAGTTTCATAGTTGCTGAGTTATACCCAGTAAGTTCTGCTTCAAGGCCTGATGGAACTCCATGCCTCGGGAAGACCCAAAACTTGTTTCCAAAACATTAATTATAAATCACCAATTACATAATAAAACAACACTATAGAACCAGAAGAATGAGGAAATAAGCAGGAACCTTTTGTAGTCCTGCCCATGATCCTTTTAAATCAGGCTGCTACTTAGAGCTCTTCTTTATCACAACAAAGAGAGTAAATTGACCTACTACTGTGGTAGCGTCTTAGGATTTCTATTACCCTGAAGAGACACCATGACCACAGCAACTCAAATAAAGAAGAACATGTCACTGAGGCTGGCTACAACTCAGAGGTTAAGTCCATTATCATCATGGCGGGAAGCATGCTAGCACACAGGCAGACATGGTGCTGGAGAAGTAGCTAAGAACTCTACATCTAAATTGGCAGGCCACAGAAGAGAGCTGATAGTGAACCTGGCTTGAACACCGGAAACCTCAAAGCCCTCCCAGTGACACACTTTCTCAAAAACGCCCCCACACACTCCAAGGCCACACCACTCTGTGGGCCTGTGGAGACCATTTTTGCTCAAACCACCACACGTAATATTTCTTCTATTGTTTTGAAGGCAGGATGTTCTTGACCTTAGAAAAATAATGGTTAGCCAGTGCTTACCTGAATTACATCTGACACATAA